GACTCCAAGGTGCGTTTCATTTAAATCCCCCGCTCCCTCCGCGCTCCACCGTGTGACACCAAGGGCTGAGGGGAAGTGGAACCACTAATGAAACACAGCCTTTGATGATCCAGGCACAATGCATGCTGGGTAGATTATTGTCCCACGCGCTCTGATATATTAATAATAATAAAGTTTATTGATAGATCTGAACCACTGCAGTGTCTCTAACAGCCAGCAGGGGGCACTAACACTGATAGTATGGAGTCTTATAGAGATCAATAAGCTCAGTAAACAGTTTCCTGATGAGTTTCTGGTCTCAGTCTCTAGTTTCAGTCTTCTTCCATACAGCATGATGTTCATTTAGTAACTGATGGTCCCATTTGAGAGTAAAACAGACCATAAAGCAGGGTATGCTTTAGGGCGGGGCTACCTTGTGATTGACAGCTCATTCTCAGTGAGTCCGTCCAGCTCAACCAAACCAGAGCCCGTCTACCGAGAGCCTGGCCACTCTCTATTAAAGGAGCCTTTCACCCGTGGAAACATTAGTGTATATATATGTGGTTGAAATGTAACATACATTTTGAATTTGGTGCCTGTTTGATCGAGAAAAGACAGAAAGTGACTTTAGGGCGCATTTGTATTAAAGACAACAACTCCCACAATGCACAGCTCCGCAAGCTGCTCCCAGTAACAACAACAACAACGTGAATGTAAACCATTTATTTACAGAAATATATGAACAACAACAACAATAAATATGTAAACAATGACAGTTGTAGTTCCTCCTGAGCGTCCTCAACGTCTCGGTGCCGCAGTACTGGCCATCTGGAGCTGGATACTGTCGGAGAGCCTGCACCACATCAGCGGGTAAAACAACGCCTCCACCCAATCTCTCGCCTTGCAGGACCCATTGCAGAAAGGCTGTTAGGCGATATTGTCTACAAGACATTGAGCACACAGTTAGAGATACATGGTCTTTGTGTTCAGCGTGCCACAGTAGTTAGCAATGCAACTGCAAGCTGTTTGTGCAGTAAAGAAGCTAACGTTAGTTCAGTTGGCTGACGTTACGTATTAACCGGGAATAACTTTGTGATAATACTTGAACAAACTGTGTACATACATGCCACGTTGTTATAAGACAGAAACACTTTACAGTCAGACGTCCGTGTGTCCGTAGGCGCACAGCGAGAGCACAGACACCAGCAGTCCGCCCCAGCTCCAGCCAGTCCGGGCTCCTCGTCCGCGACAGGCAGGTCCTCTGCCTCGACTGCAGCAGCCTCAGACGCTGCTCGCTATACAGCGGCTCATAAAGGTAGCCTCGAACATCTGATATATACAGCGGCTCATAAAGGTAGCCTCGAACATCTGATATATACAGCGGCTCATAAAGGTAGCCTCGAACATCTGATATATACAGCGGCTCATAAAGGTAGCCTCGAACATCTGATATATACAGCGGCTCATAAAGGTAGCCTCGAACATCTGTATATACAGCGGCTCATAAAGGTAGCCTCGAACATCTGATATATACAGCGGCTCATAAAGGTAGCCTCGAACATCTGATATATACAGCGGCTCATAAAGGTAGCCTCGAACATCTGATATATACAGCGGCTCATAAAGGTAGCCTCGAACATCTGATATATACAGCGGCTCATAAAGGTAGCCTCGAACATCTGATATATACAGCGGCTCATAAAGGTAGCCTCGAACATCTGATTCCACCATCATTGATTACCACAGTCGTAACGTCTGGCTCCACAGCGCCTCCGCTCAGTTTCCAAACAAGATGGCGGTTATATTTTTTAGTCCCACCCACTGATCGGTGACAGGTCTGTAGCGTGAGTGGAACAACAAGAGGAAGTAGTGTTTGTAGTCTCACCTCCTCTACAGAGAGACTTCCTGCTTCCAATGACGCACAATGACCATTTATACATCACTGGAAACAGGAAGTGACACACTAACCTTATTTCTCCCTCTCAGGGGAAGAGAGGGAACGACGACCATTCAGAAATATGACTGTGGTTCTAATGACACAAAGCTTAATGCAAATGGGTGAAGTGTCCCCATAAGGTCCCATTGTACCGAACACTGGTTGCAGTTCCAGCAGAGGTCCACTGGGGGCGCTCTCCCATCAGTGCAGAATGAATGGGAGCAGATGGAGCTGATTGTGGTTGAGAGATCTCAGATGTGATTGTAGTTTTTAAAGTTCAACATGGGTTATAGGTCGAAAGCTGAATGAACGAGTTCTGATGTCCTTTAGATTTCTTACAGGACGAGTTGTTGTTGCCCATAACGCGCTAGCATTCTGCTAATGAACGCTGATTGGTCAGTGAAGGACTGATTATCGTTACGTCTGTGTCGAAGCACAAAGAGACTCGAGGCTCGCCGTAAAGCGGTATCTCTGTACGATGTGTGTGACGTCACTGACATTTTAAAGACTTTAAAGAAAATAAGTGACTCTAAAGAATCTAACACCCAGCAGTGTGTCATTACTCGACAAACACTGATATCCTGAGAGAAGAGGACTGTGAGGGTATCGCTCCATAGAGCTCCATTCATTCTGCTCTCATCCTGTGAGCGCCCTCACATGGAGCCAGAGGGGAACTGCAACAGCTCAGAACTTCTCTCATTATCAGACGTTCTCTGAACAAACTCAGCCGGGTCAACGAGCCTCTTTACATCCAGGTGAGTCAGCGTGAGAGCAGGTGACTTCCTGTCTGTGTCCGTCCTTCTCAGCTGAAGGAGCTCACCAACGAAGAAGAAGAAGAAGAAGGGGAGGAGGAGGAGGAGGAGGAGGAGGAGGAGGGTGGAGGAGGCCGTCGGAGGAAGAGGAGGCTGAGGTTCGGCTGTCTGCTGCAGCTCTCCTTCCCTCGTCACGGACAGACGACCAGAGCAGCAGCAGTGGTGGAGGACAGCTTCACCTGCACAGGTGTCCCTGAGTTTCAAAATAAAGTCCTTCTTAAGTTTCACAATAAAGTCCCAAGCTCTGAGCTAGCTAACGTCAGTATAGAATGATGATGCTAAGCTAACTCAAATGTTTGAGTCATTGGTTGCAGGCGTGGAGTTAGCGTGCTAGCGTTAGCGTGTGCTGACAGATGTTGTGTGTGCAGGTCCAGATGTTCTGCTACAGAAACGATGTTACCTGCACAGGATGGTGAGAGAGAGAGCGCTCGCCCAGGCCTTCTCTACAGTGCTGCTAATACTGCTGGGTAATACTGCTAATAATGCTAATAATACTGCTAATAATGCTGCTAATAATGCTAATAATACTGCTAATAATGCTGCTAATAATACTGCTAATAATACTGCTAATAATGCTGCTAATAATGCTAATACTACTGCTAATAATGCTAATACTACTGCTAATAATACTGCTAATACTACTGCTAATAATGCTAATAATACTAATAATACTGCTAATACTGCTAATAATGCTGCTAAAAATGCTAATACTGCTAATAATGCTAATACTACTGCTAATAATGCTGCTAATAATGCTGCTAATAATGCTAATACTGCTAATAATGCTAATACTACTGCTAATAATAATACTAATAACACTGCTAATAACACTGCTAATAATACTGCTAATACTACTGCTAATAATGCTAATACTACTGCTAATACTACTGCTAATAATACTGCTAATAATGCTAATACTACTGCTAATAACACTGCTAATACTACTGCTAATAATGCTAATACTACTGCTAATACTACTGCTAATAATACTGCTAATAATGCTAATACTACTGCTAATAACACTGCTAATACTACTGCTAATAATACTGCTAATAATGCTAATACTACTGCTAATAACACTGCTAATACTACTGCTAATAATGCTAATACTACTGCTAATAATAATGCTAATACTACTGCTAATACTACTGCTAATAATACTGCTAATAATGCTAATACTACTGCTAATAATACTGCTAATACTACTGCTAATAATGCTAATACTACTGCTAATAATAATACTAATAATACTACTAATAATACTGCTAATAATACTGCTGATAATGCTAATACTACTGCCAATAATAATACTAATAACTTTACTAGTAATACTGCTAATAATACTGCTAATAATGCTAATACTACTGTTAATAATACTAATAACACTGCTAATAACACTGCTAATAATACTGCTAATACTACTGCTAATAATACTGCTAATACTACTGCTAATAATACTAATAATACTGCTAATAATACTAATAATACTGCTAATACTACTACTAATAATGCTAATAATACTAATAATACTGCTAATAATGCTAATACTACTGCCAATAATAATACTTATAACTTTACTAATAATACTGCTAATACTACTGCTAATAATACTAATAATACTGCTAATAATACTAATAATACTGCTAATACTACTACTAATAATGCTAATAATAATACTAATACTACTGCTAATAATACTGCTAATAATGCTAATAATACTAATAATACTGCTAATAATACTGCTAATACTACTGCTAATAATACTGCTAATAATGCTAATAACACTGCTAATAACACTGCTAATAATACTGCTAATACTACTGCTAATAATACTGCTAATAATGCTAATAACACTGCTAATAACACTGCTAATAATACTGCTAATACTACTGCTAATACTACTACTAATAATACTAATACTACTGCTAATAATACTGCTAATAATGCTAATAATACTAATAATACTGCTAATACTACTGCTAATACTACTGCTAATAATACTGCTAATAACACTGCTAATAACACTGCTAATAATACTGCTAATACTACTGCTAATACTACTACTAATAATACTGCTAATAATACTAATAATACTACTACTAATAATACTAATACTACTGCTAATAATACTGCTAATAATGCTAATAATACTAATAATACTGCTAATAATACTGCTAATACTACTGCTAATAATACTGCTAATAATGCTAATAATACTAATAATACTAATAATACTGCTAATACTACTGCTAATAATACTAATAATAATGCTAATAATACTAATAATACTGCTAATACTACTACTAATAATACTAATACTACTGCTAATAATACTGCTAATAATACTGCTAATAATGCTAATAATACTAATACTGCTGCTAATAATACTGCTAATAATACTGCTAATACTACTGCTAATAATACTGCTAATACTACTGCTAATAATACTAATAATACTGCTAATAATACTGAAGTGATCTGCTGTCTCTGTAGGAAACGGTAAAGTGATGGTGGAGGTGAAACAGACGTCAGATCAGTTCCAACCTGAGGAGACTGAAGGAGTCCTCCAGGTAAACTCACCTGTGTGTGTGTGTGTGTGTGTGTGTGTGTGTGTGTGTGTGTGTGTGTGTGTGTGTGTGTACTGTGTGTGTACTGTCTGTGTGTGTGTGTGTGTGTGTGTGTGTGTGTGTGTGTGTGTGTGTATGTATGTGAGAGTGTGTGTGTGTGTGTGTGTATGTATGTGAGAGTCTGTGTGTGTGTGTGTATGTATGTGAGAGTTGTGTGTGTGTGTGTGTGTGTGTGTGTGTGTGTGTGTGTGTGTGTGTGTGTGTGTGTGTGTACTGTGTGTGTGTGTGTGTGTGTGTGTGTATGTATGTGAGAGTGTGTGTGTGTGTATGTATGTGAGAGTGTGTGTGTGTGTGTGTATGTATGTGAGTGTGTGTGTGTGTGTGTGTGTGTGTGTGTGTGTGTGTATGTATGTGAGTGTGTGTGAGTGTATGTGTGTGTGTGTATGTATGTGAGAGTGTGTGTGTGTGTATGTATGTGAGAGTGTGTGTGTGTGTGTACTGTGTGTGTGTGTGTGTATGTGAGAGTGTGTGTGTGTGTACTATGTGTGTGTACAGTGTATTCTCTCTCTCTCTGACAGGTGAATGAGTTTGCTGCTGATGAAGAGGATGATGATGATGAAGAGTGGGATCTGACTGTGTCATAGACACCCAGAAGATTGTGGGAAGGAGGAATCTGTGCTAACAGTGGTGCATGGTGGGAATCCTGAGCAGAGTTCATTTTGGTGTTTAATTAGTTCAATAAATCAGTTTGATTAATGAAAGTAGAACTGTGTTGTGATTGGCTGCTGGTGCTCAGATCAAACTGTGTTGTGACTGGCTGCTGGTGCTCAGATCAAACTGTGTTGTGATTGGCTGCTGGTGCTCAGATCAAACTGTGTTGTGATTGGCTGCTGGTGCTCAGATCAAACTGTGTTGTGATTGGCTGCTGGTGCTCAGATCAAACTGTGTTGTGATTGGCTGCTGGTGCGTCAGCTACAAACAGGAAGCACACAGAAACCTTTACATCTGACTTCTCCTCGCTTGAACTGGAAGTTGTTGTGGTCCAGCATCTTGCAGCAACGCTCCTATTTCTGCACCGAGGATCCATTAGATAATATATTATATTAGTATGTTATATTTTATATATTATTATTATATTAATATATAATTTACAGTAATAATGAGAGAGGAAGTGGGACTGTGTGGAACAGTTTTAATAAAACTACAGCAGAGAGTCACACTGAAACTTTATGTTTTTTCTTTTCTTTTTTTGCCTTCCTCTTCGTCTTCATCGCTGCCTTCTTCTTTATAATGTTGTTGATCTTTGCGGTCTGCTTCCTCACCTTCTCCTTCCCGGCTTCTGATAGGTTCAGACTGCCACTGACCACCAGGAAGTGCTGCACACACACAACAACACAATTAATGTCTGACCAATCAGAGCGCAGAGCTGCTGCTACACTGACTGTTACAGGCTTCCTCTGGGTCTCTGGACTCTGTTATAGTCCTCTGGGGCTCTGGTCTGTTATGCAGTATCAGTAGTAAGCAGACAGACTCACTTTGTGATATTCAATGTGTCCGTGAGTGAAGTCGACTTCTTTAGGAAGCGGGAGCAGAACTCCGTCATTAAACCAGCCTACAAACACACACACACACACACAGAGCATTTAATTATAAATATATTCAATTCAATTCAATTTTATTTGTATAGCGCCAATTCATAACAGAAGTTATCTCAGGACACTTTTCAAATAGAGCAGGTCTAGACCGAACTCTTTAAAACATTAATTACAGACCCAACAGTACCACCATGAGCAAGCACTTGGAGACAAGGGCAAGGAAAAACTGCCTGTTAAAAGGCAGAAACCTAGGACAGATCCTCCGGCTCTAGGTGGGTGGTCGTCTGTCTCGACCAGTTGGGGTGAGAGAGAGAGAGAGACAGAGAGAGAGAGCGAGAGACAGACAGACAGACAGACAGACAGACAGGTGCACAGCAACAACAGTATTGGCAATGGCAGTCAAGCAGGACCATGGCAGGAGGCTCCACCAGGATCGACAAGAACCTGCGAGACGAGAAAGCACAAGAACTCCGGGGAAGAAGTGAAGTTAGTAACATGCATTAATGGGACATGAATGAGTGCAGAAAGAGAGAGGAAGAGAGGAGCTCAGTGCACCATGGGAAATCCCCCAATAGTCTAGGCCTATAGCAGCATAACTAAGGGATGGTTCAGGACTCACCTGATCCAGCCCTAACTATAAGCTTTATCAAAGAGGAATGTCTTAAGCCTACTCTTGAATGTGGTGAGGGTGTCTGCCTCCCGAACCACAACTGGAAGCTGGTTCCACAGGAGAGGAGCTTGGTAACTGAAGGCTCTGGCTCCTGTTCTACTTTTAGAGACTATAGGAACCACAAGTAGCCCAGCATTCAGAGAACGTAGTGTTCTAGTGGGGTAATAGGGTACTATGAGCTCTTTAAGATATGAAGGGGCCTGACCATGAAGAGCTTTATAGGTGAGGAGGAGGATTTTAAATTCTATTCTACAGTTTATAGGGAGCCAATGCAGAGTAGCTAGTACAGGAGAGATGTGATCTCTTTTTCTAGTTCCTGTCAGTACTCATGCTGCAGCGTTCTGAATTAATTGGAGCGTTTTAATGGACTTATTGGGGCAACCTGATAATAAAGAGTTGCAGTAATCCAGCCTTGAAGTAACAAATGCATGGATTAGTTTTTCTGCATCTGTCTGTGATAGTATGTGTCTAATTTTTCTAATATTACGTAAATGAAAGAAGGCAGTCCTAGAGGTCTGCTTTATGTGGGTGTTAAATGACAAATCCTGATCAAAGATAACTCCAAGATTCCTGACAGTGGTGCTAGAGGCCAAGTTAATGCCATCTAGAGTAACTATATCTTTAGACAGTGAGTCTCTAAGGTTTTTGGGGCCAAGAACAAGAATTTCGTTTTTTTCTGAGTTTAACATCAGAAAATTGCAGGTCATCCAGGATTGTATGTCCTTAAGACATGTTTGTAATTTAGATAATTGATTAATTTCATTGGGCTTGATTGATAGATATAACTGCATGTCATCTGCATAACAGTGAAAGTTAATGGAGTGATTCCTAATAATGTTGCCTAAAGGGAGCATATATAAAGTAAATAGTATTGGTCCAAGTACAGAACCTTGTGGAACTCCATGACTAACTGTAGTATCTATTGAAGATTCATCGTTAACATGTACAAACTGCGAGCGATCTGATAAATATGACTTAAACCAGCTTAGTGCGGTTCCTTTAATGCCAATTTGATGCTCAAGTCTCTGTAAAAGAATATCATGGTCAATGGTGTCAAATGCAGCACTAAGATCCAATAATAGAAGTACAGAGACAAGTCCATTGTCAGAAGCAGTCAGAAGGTCATTATTAACTTTAACCAGAGCTGTCTCTGTGCTATGATGAACTCTAAATCCTGACTGAAAATCCTCAAATAAACTATTGTTATGTAGAAAGTCACACAACTCTTTGGCGACTACTCTCTCCAGAATCTTAGAGAGGAAGGGGAGGTTAGAAATCGGTCTATAGTTGGCTAAAACCCCTGGGTCAAGAGTGGGCTTTTTAAGAAGGGGTTTAATTACATCTACTTTAAAGGACTGTGGTACATATCCTGATAATAAAGAAAGATTAATCATATCCAGTAAAGAAGTGCCAATTAAGGGAACAACTTCTTTAAGCAGCCTAGTTGGGATCGGGTCTAATAGACAGGTTGATGGCTTCGATGAAGAAATGATTGAAGTTAAGTGATGAAGATCGATAGCAGAAAAACAGTCTAAATATATATCTAAGTTTACATTGACAGAAGTCCCTGAACTTGGAGAGCCACTGATAACTGTTGATGGCAGTTGGTGATTAATTTTCTCTCTAATAGTAATAATTTTATTATAGAAGAAGCTCATGAAGTCATTGCTACTTAAGTTTATGGGGATATGTGGCTCAATAGAGCTGTGACTCTCTGTCAGCCTGGCTACAGTGCTGAAGAGGAACCTAGGGTTGTTCTTATTTTCTTCTATTAGTGCTGAGTAATAGGCTCCTCTGGCATTACGGAGGGCCTTTCTATAAGTTTTAAGATTATCTTGCCAATTTGAGCGATATTCTGATAATTTGGAAGAGTGCCATTTCCTTTCAGATTTCCTAGCTATTTGTTTTAACTGGCGGGTTTGGTGGTTATACCAAGGTGCTAGTCTCCTATGTTTTAATAATTTCCTTTTTATAGGAGCGATAGAGTCTAATGTTGATCGTAGTGAGCCTGTAGCACTATCGACAAGATTATTAATTTCAGAGGAACTAAAGTTATTATAGGACTCTGTTAAATTCAGACATGGCATTGAATTAAACACTGAAGGAATCTCCTCCTTAAATTTAGCTACAGCACTGTCAGATAGACATCTGCTGTAGGAAGTTTTGCCTAATGGCTTATAATCTAATAGTATGAATTCAAAAGTTATTAAATAATGGTCAGATAGGAAAGGATAATGTGGGAAGACTATTAAATGTTCAATATCAATGCCATATTATAAAACAAGGTCAAGAGTGTGATTAAAACAATGAGTTGGTTTATTTACACTCTGACAGAAGCCAATTGAGTCTATTAATGATATAAATGCATTACTAAGGGTGTCATTGTCAACATCCACATGAATATTAAAATCACTTACAATAATTACTTTATCTGATTTAAGGACTAAACTTGATAAAAACTCTGAGAATTCAGATATAAAATCAGAGTACGGTCCAGGAGCGCGGTACACTATAACAAATAGAACTGGCTGCAGTGTTTTCCAGTTTGGGTGAGAAAGACTAAGAACAAGGCTTTCAAATGAATTATAATTTAGTTTAGGTTTAGGGTCCATTAAAACGCTCGAATCATATATGGCTGCCACTCCACCTCCTCGGCCAGTGCCTCGAGGAATGTGAGTATTAATATGACTGGGGGGTTGGATTCATTTAGGCTAACATACTCCTCGTGGGACAACCAGGTCTCAGTAAGACAAAGTAAATCAATATCATAATCTGATATTAATTCATTCACTAAAACAGCTTTAGAGGACAGAGACCTGATATTTAACAGCCCACATTTCATTCTCTCATTTTGTGCTACTGAGGAGTTAGTTTTAATTTTTTTATCAGATTTTTATGTTGAACTCCTCTTGTTTTTATTTCTTTAAATAATTTAGGTGGTCGGGGGACAGACACAGTCTCTATGGGGTTTTGGGTGGGTGACTGTTCTAAATTAAAGAGCAGAGAAGTGTGTAAGACAGCAGCTCTGCTTCCTGGTCCTAACTCTGGACTGTCAGGTTTCAGAAATAAACTTCGCCATATTCCAAACTAAGAGAGCCGCTCCATCCAAAGTTGGATGCATGCCGTCTCTCCTAATCAGACTAGGTTTTCCCCAAAAAGGCTTCCAGTTATCAATGAAGCCCACATAGTTTTCTGGACACCACCTCGACAGCCAGCGGTGGAATGACGACATGCGGCTCTATATGTCATCACTGGTCACATTGGGCAGGGGTCCAGAGAAAACTACGGTGTCCGACATTGTCTTAGCATAATTACACACCGACTCCACATTAATCTTAGTGACCTCCGATTGGCGTAAACGGGTGTCGTTACCGCCGACGTGGATAACAATCTTACTGTATTTACGTTTATCTTTAGCCAGCAGTTTTAAATATGATTCAATGTTGTCCGCTCTGGCCCCAGGGATACATTTAACTATGGCCGATGGCTTCCTATATGTGTATGTGACTCCTGTACATTACATTGTTGTGTGTAGTTCAAAGACTACTGTACATTACAGCGTTGTGTGTAGTTCAAAGACTACTGTACATTACAGTGTTGTGTGTAGTTCAGTGCAGTAGTACTCACTCTGAATGTAGGTTCCAACTTTATGAAGAACATATCTTTCAAGAACGAAGTTAACAACCAGCTTCTGCACAGAAACAACACACTATTATTATTACCATTATTATTGTTATTATTATTAATATTATTACTATTATTATCATCATCATTATTATTATTAATATTATCATTATTATTGTTATTATTTGTGTTATTATTATTCATAATATTATCACAATTATTATTGTTATTATTAATAATATTATTATCATCATCATCATTATTGTTATTATTTAAAGACATACTATGCAGGCTGTCGCTGTTTGTAAATGATGAACAGCTGGGACTGAATGTGCGAGTAAAGATGATTGACAGCGATTTTGTGTTTATTAAATAATAAATAAATAAAGAGTCCCCCGGGTCTGGTAAGAGCCATTGTGGACCTCAGTGTGGTCGGCTCTGGCGGCGCTCCACCTCTTTGACCATATTTGAATTATCCAGCCTGTGTTGTAGCTTCACTCTTGTTCAGTTGCCAGTGCAGGACAAAGATCGGCTCAAACTGGGTCCTAATCAATCAGCTGGACTGGACGTATAAACCCCTTCTTTCTGAAACTAGTGGCTCATATTATCTCTGCTCTGTCCAACCTGTCCCTGCAGACCAATTAAATCTCCCAGGACCAGAAATCGGGCTCTGTCTTCCGACTCTACACGAGACACCTCAGACCTGAACCTATATCCATATTGCCTCTCAAAGGTTCTGTAGAAACTGGTCAACAAACACCTGACCCACCAGCTGGAGTCTCACAACGTCTGTTCCACCATGCAGTCTGGCTTTAGAGGTGCTCCGGTGTGCCTGCCTCAGGGGTCCATTCTAGGTCCAAACCCTCTTCACAATATATCTAAATAATGTTGCTCATGCTGCTGTTCTCTCATCCACCTCTATGCTGACGACACCCTGTTGTATACATCGAGCTCCTCCCTGAACACTGCCCTGTCCTCCCTGCAGCTCAGTTTCAACAGTGAGTGAATTTGTCACCTCTTACAAATACCTGAGTATCTGTCCTGATAGTTCTCTCTTCTCTCACTGTATAAACTGTACACACTGTATATACTGTATAGACTGTATATATTGTATGTATTGTATATACTGTATATACTGTATATATTGTATACACTGTATATACTGTACACTGTATATATTGTATATACTATACCAACTATATATTGTACACACTGGTATTATCATGCTGCCTGTTGGCCGGGATTGTCACTGTCAATGAGAATTGGTTCTTGTTATTACTTATCTGGTTAAATAAAGTAGCTATAGAGATTATAATATGGGGTCTTATGGACTCACTGCTGGAGCCAGCCTCTGGTGGACGTTAGAGGAACTGTAGGTTTTGTCATTGCAGCCACGTAGTAAAATCCTGCATATTGTGCCTTTTAGCAGAGAGGTGCAGACACTCACTGTATTCTTACCGCAAATTTTCCTTTTGTGGTTTGAGGTCTGACTTTACACCTGAAAGAGAACAACAGTAATGACACTGTACAGTACTACACAGTACTACTGTCATATACAGCAGAGCATCTGAGGCGGGGGCTCCTACTCAGAGGTTTGAGAGAGCAGAATCAGACGGCGTCCAAGGATATCGACCTTCATGGCGACCTTACACATCTGGAGGAGACAGACAGTTTGGTTATTACTGTGCAGAAGAAGAAAAGAGTCAGAAATATCTAAAGTAAACAGGTGCATCTGTTCTGTTGGTTGTTTTTCTGGTTGTGTGTCTGTGTCTTTACCACAGGAAGAGCTGGTGTACGTGATTCAACTAAAGACTGGGCTTTGGCGTTCACTCTGACAGAAACTCCAGACTCGCTGATAGAGATGGTCGGCTTGTCAGTGAGCTGCAATTCAACAGGACCCTTCAGCAGGAAAGGTAGAAACATCACAGGTGTGTTATATTTATCTACCCCAAACCACCACAAAGAAACCCCAAACCACCACAAAGACACCCAAAACCACCACGAAGAGACGACAAACCACCGCAAAGAGATCCAAAACCACCACAAAGAGACTCAAAACCACCACGAAGAGACCCAAAACCACCACGATGAAACCCCAAACCACCGCAAAGAGACCCCAAACCACCGCAAAGAGACCCCAAACCACCGCAAAGAGACAAAAAAAACCCACAGAGACCCCATACCACCTCGAAGAAACCCCAAACCACCACAGAGACCCCAAACCACCACAAAGAGACCCCAAACCACCACAAAGAGACTACAAACCACCACAAAGAGACACATAAAAGTCCACAAAGAGACATTAAACAGGAGGTTGCTATGTTACAACTCGTTCACTCACTGAAGATTAATTCAGAAAGATAAAGATAAAATGCTTGGGATTGTTATGCAACATTTAAATGTTAATGGCACACTGTATTGTATTTGCCTGGATGAAAGTGTATTAGTCTGTCCGCTGTGTGTGTGTGTGTGTGTGTGTGTGTGTGTGTGTGTGTGTGTGTGTGTGTGTGTGTGTGTGTGTGTGTGTGTGTGTGAGAGGAGGGTGAGAGGAGGGGGTTTACTTGCCTTTGGAAGTCCCAGAACATTGAGAACACCGTTAACTATGGTATTGATCTGTTGAGGAGAACAGAGGAGGAGACCAGAGGAGGTGGCCAGAGGAGGAGAACAGAGGAAGAGAACAGAGGAGGTGAACAGAGGAGGGTAAACAGGATGAGCTGCTCATTCACTGTTACTGACACTCAGGCTTTTATTGTGAAGGTCTTCTCTGACTGGTTGTATCAAACCTGCTATTTCCACGGCAACCATAGGTGAAGGACTGGTGGTCTATCAAGGTTTTGTCAGGTGATTTCAGGACTTCTCACCTTTGGAACATCCAGCCGAATAGGTTCTGAGTTTTGGAGCGACTTGGCGATGTTTTCCAAGACAGAGTCTGGGATTCTGACGTTCACAGTTGCCATCCGGTCACTTCCTGTGCACATAGTAGCACGTTTATATCAACAGCCGTATACTCATTCATGTGTTCAATACTCAGAATAATCAATGCTAGTAATCTTCAGCAGTGGATACCACCATGTCATACATGAGACGTATGGCAGACCCACGCACTAGAGTGCACGTGACCTCCGCCCAGCATTTGGCAGAAGCTGCTGCTATTGTGGAAATCATTTAACCAAACTCGTCTGAGAGCGTAGGAGTATGGAGGGTGAGAACCGGTTCTCGATACATCGGAATGGTACAGTACAGATTAGATCACTTCCTTTTATCAATGACAGTTGAACATTGCACAAGCATTGCTTTCATTCTGTGTAGCCAGGTGGAAGTGGACTGTAGTTCTCTGGTGTGGATGGACAGCCCGATTATTACCCATCAGTTAAATCCTTTCTATGTGGCTGCTGTTCCTTTCTCAGCTTTCAGACGGGCAGTAAATCAGAGATCAGTGTAATTATTCCGTCTTTAATGGAAGGATCAGAAAAAACAACCCTACAACAAAGGCACGAAGACTTGTGTGTCGTATTAGTCACACTATCAGAGCCCAGATTCTCATAATTATCATAGCAACAAACAAAACAACTAAACCTCAACACATGTCACCCCTTCCCTAACCCTAACCCTAACCCTAACCTTGGGAAAAAGGATTTATCTTCCTAACCCTAAACCTAACCCTTCGTCACCCCAGACAGATAATATCTGAGGTTTCAACACAATCCTGAATACTTGAACCTGCTGCAGGTCTAACGCTGGACTCACCTGTGCTGGTTCAGCTGGGTGAGTTAATCACAGTGACTCTGCAGTTTTGACTCCTCGCTGGGGTCTAATATCATTTTCACTTTTACCAAACGCAGGAGGATGTGCGCAGTGTTAGCACCTCTGAAGGTTATGTGTTAATCAGTAATAGTCACACCTCTGGACACAGTCTTGTGTTGTGAACTAAAAAATAAATGAACCATGTACCTTGTTATCATGAACTAACGCAGATGAACACAGTGAAAGGATTTATAACGTCTGGTTTTAGGAAGTCTCAGAGTAAATGTGGCAGCAAAATATTAACCAGCACGAACAGTGAATTGACACGGAGACGATATTCTTTGACTGTTTTCTACCCAACAGAGCTTCAGGATTAGATCACAGATCATTAACAATGTTAATAAAATCACTCATAAATCATTTAACTGAATGATCTGCAGTTATCTGATGACAATCTGCTCTGTATGCAGTTTCTGTGTGAACTGACCTCAGATCAGTGGAGGACTGTCACTAACAACATTTGCACAGCGAGTTACTTTACTGGAGTATTTGTACTCTATTACATTTATCTGACAGCTTCACTACCGCAGAGTTCTACACATACAGCGCCTATATCATATAATGATCTGTGGTTGTAAATGAAGCTCCACAACAGTTTATACATCCACCAGTCTATTAATCAATGTGTGCATTAAATAATTCATTCATTCATTAAGTCAGTTAATTAATTAAATCCATTGACAGAAACTCAGTGGTTGACATCATTTTTCAGATCTGCTGCTTTTCCTTTGAATGATTGTAATAATTTTGCTGGAGCACTGCATTGAATTAAAGACAGTGAACATAAAGACTTACAGGGCAGAGGTCAGTCCAACAAAGACAAACAAATCCAGTCTGCAGAGGAAGATACAGCTACTTTTTTAAAGCTACTTTTTCCCTGTAAAATTTAAAATAGAATTTAAAATTCTCCTCCTCACCTATAAAGCTCTTCATGGTCAGGCCCCTTCATATCTTAAAGAGCTCATAGTACCCTATTACCCCACTAGAACACTACGTTCTCTGAATGCTGGGCTACTTGTGGTTCCTATAGTCTCTAAAAGTAGAACAGGAGCCAGAGCCTTCAGTTACCAAGCTCCTCTCCTGTGGAACCAGCTTCCAGTTGTGGTTCGGGAGGCAGACACCCTCACCACATTCAAGAGTAGGCTTAAGACATTCCTCTTTGATAAAGCTTATAGTTAGGGCTGGATCAGGTGAGTCCTGAACCATCCCTTAGTTATGCTGCTATAGGCCTAGACTATTGGGGGATTTCCCATGGTGCACTGAGCTCCTCTCTTCCTCTTTCTCTCTTTCTGTACTCATTCATGTTCCATTAATGCATGTTACTAACTTCACTTCTTCCCCGGAGTTCTTGTGCTTTCTCATCTCGCAGGTTCTTATCGATCCTTGTGGAGCCTCCTGCCATGGTCCTGTTTGACTGCTATTGCTAATATCACTGATATTAGTGTTATTATTATAATTATTCAATTCAATTCAATTTTATTTGTATAGCGCCAATTCATAACAGAAGTTATCTCAGGACACTTTTCAAATAGAGCAGGTCTAGACCGAACTCTTTAACATTAATTACAGAGACCCAACAGTACCACCATGAGCAAGCACTTGGCGACAAGGGCAAGGAAAAACTGCCTGTTAAAAGGCAGAAACCTAGGACAGATCCTCCGGCTCTAGGTGGGTGGTCGTCTGTCTCGACCAGTTGGTTTGAAAGAGAGAGAGAGAGCGAGAGACAGACAGACAGGTGCACAGCAACAACAGTATTGGCAATGGCAATCTAGCAGGACCATGGCAGGAGGCTCCACCAGGATCGATAAGAACCTGCGAGACGAGAAAGCACAAGAACTCCGGGGAAGAAGTGAAGTTAGTAACATGCATTAATGGAACATGAATGAGTGCAGAAAGAGAGAGGAAGAGAGGAGCTCAGTGCACCATGGGAAATATTATTAATGTTATTATTACTACAGTTACTATTATTACTATTGTCACTGCTCATTGTCCCCCATCGTTGAGGGCGCCTGGTTAGCTCAGTGGGTGGAGCTGGCTAAAACTTTATCTTCATCATTAAACCTGCAGTGTGCAGTCTCTGCCACCAGGGGGACGCTCACATCAGAACTATAAGAAACAGGAAGTGTGATTAGGTGGTGAAGCAGCGTGGCATCATGGGAGTTGCAGTCAGCTTCTCCCGGTTAGGATTCAGTGTTCATGGTTCAGGAGGTTTGTACACACAGAGGTCTTGATGATGATGATGAAGATGAAGGTGATGATGATGTGTCCTAACGCTGAGCTGTGATTGGTCAGCTGGTTGGGACCTTATCCTGTTACTTTGCATCAGACACACGTTCATTCTTCTGTAATCTGTCTCATTTTCATACGCTCACATTGTGCCTCAACCTGCTCTTATTGTTCAGCACAGGAGAGACACATTGAGACCAGGTCACTCAGGGGGGTTAGGACTCAGGGTCTAGCACTCATTGGATCTCCTACAGTGGATATAATCCGTCTACACACTCCTGTTAAATGCTGTTTAATAACCTGGTTGCATTAGTGTGCACAGCCTTAAACTGGCACCTTTATCTGTCTATTAACACATTCATCCTTTCACTACAGACACATTCACCCTTTCACACACATTCACCCTTTACTAAAGACACATTCACCCTTTCACTACAGACACATTTACCCTTTTACTACAGACACATTCACCCTTTTAACTACAGACACATTCACCCTTTCACTACAGACACATTCACCCCTTTACTACACACACATTCACCCTTTCACACACATTCATCCTTTTACTACAGACACATTCACCCTTTAACTACAGACACATTCACATCCTTTAACTACAGACAGATTCACCCTTTCACTACAGACACATTCACCCTTTCACTACAGACGCATTCACTCCTTTTACTACAGACACATTCACCCTTTAACTACAGACACATTCACCCGTTCACACACATAAACCCTTTCACACACATTCACCCTTTTACTAAAGACACATTCACCCTTTCACACACATTCACCCTTTGACTACAGACACATTCACCCTTTCACACACATTCACCCTTTTACTAAAGACACATTCACCCTTTCACACACATTCACCCTTTCACACACATTCACCCTTTTACTACAGACACATTCACCCTTTCACTACAGACACATTCAGCCTTTCACACACATTCCCCCTTTCACTACAGACACATTTACCCTTTCACACACATTCACCCTTTCACTACAGACGCATTCACCTTTTCACTACAGACGCATTCACCTTTTCACTACAGACGCATTCACCTTTTCACTACAGACACATTCACCCTTTCACTACAGACACATCACCCTTATACACACATTCACCCTTTCACTACAGACACATCACCCTTATACACACATTCACCCTTTCACTACAGACACATTCACCTTTTCACTACAGACACATTTACCCTTTCACTACAGACACATTCACCCTTTCACACACATTCACCCTTTCACTACAGACACATTCACCTTTTCACAACAGACACATTCACACCTTTTACTACAGACACATTCACCCTTTCACACACATTCTCCCTTTCACTACAGACGCATTCACCCTTTCACTACAGACACATTCACCCTTTCACTACAGACACATTCACACCTTTTACTATAGACACATTCACCCTTTCACTACAGACACATTCACCCTTTCACTACAGACACATTCACATCTTTTACTACAGACACATTCACCCATTCACTCACTGATGCATCAGGAGCAATTCAGGGTTCAGTATCTTGCTCAAGGATACTTCGACCGTGGTAGGAGGAGCCAGGGATCCAACCAATATCCTTCCGATTAGGTTCTGCCTCCGAGCCACAGCCCTCTTCAGATCACCCCACAGGTGGATCCAGGTCTGGGCTCCGACTGGGTCAATCCAAAACCTTCATCTTCTTCTGGTGAAGCCATGCCTTTGTTGATCCCACCGCTGCCAGAAACCTTTCAGGGCGGCAGTAGCTCAGTGGGAAGGGACTTTCAAGCACAGACCCACCGTATGGAGTGTGGGCTAGTAGCTGGAGAGTTGCCAGTTTTCACCTCTTGTGCTCTGCCGAGGTGCCCTTGAGCAGGGCACCTAACCCCTGACTGCTCCCCGGGCATTCAGTCTGCCCACTGCTCCTATGTAGGATGCAGAGGCCAAGGTTCATTTCATGTATGTAAAAGTGCTGTAAATGGTGCATAATGGTGTATATATACTGTATATATATACTGTGAATATGACAATAAAAAGACTTTCCTTCCTTCCTGTCTGGATCAATGCTTTGGGTCGTTCCTCTTCCCCTTCCTCTTCAGCCTTCTAACCTGAAGGTTTTGTGCTAAAATTGAAACTGGAATTTGGAACTCCTCCACCTTGAATCAGGCCCCGGTTCCAGCTGAAGACCACCATGTGTCACACTGGGTTTGGTGTTCTCTCGGTGATGTGTTCAACCTTGGTTTCATCAGACCAGAACACATTTTCTCTTTTGGAAGACTTCCTGTATTACCGGGCTTGGATGTTTTTATCGGTAAGAAAACCCAGACATTTGGAGAATACAGGAGATTGTTGTGTAGCACACAGATCCTTTAGGGCTCTCAGAAGCCTCCTGGACCAGGTTTCTGGGGGGAGGTCCAGGTTATTGTATGTGTTTCACATTAAAGGTGGAAAAAGTTCTGACGTCATTTATCTTTGTTTAATTCTTCACTGTTCAATGCAGCAGACTGAGTGAGGAGGAACTCACAGTGTCCAATGTCCTCTGCTGCCATCCACTGACAGAGACCTGCTCAGAATGTTCTGGTAATGTTCTGAAAATGTTCTGGTAAAGTTCTGAAAATGTTTTGGTAAAGTTCTGAAAATGTTCTGGTAATGTTCTGATAATGTTTTGGTAAAGTTCTGATAATGTTCTGGTAATGTTCTGAAAATGTTCTAGTAATGTTCTGATAATGTTCTGGTAAAGTTCTGAAAATGTTCTAGTAGTGTTCTGATAATGTTCTGGTAGTGTTCTGATAATGTTCTGGTAAAGTTCTGGTAATGTTCTGGTGAACATTCCTCCAGGTGAACTGAGCTGTTTGGAACCAGGTGACTGTAACAGCTGCAGACACAAACGTCTACGAGGTAATAAAGTCATAAAGTGAAGACTCTGATCATTCTAACGTTTGCTCCTCCTCCTCCTCCTCCTGCTACTCCTCCTCCTCTTCCTCCTCCTGCTCCTCTTCCTGCTCCTCCTCCTCTTCCTCTTCGTACTCCTGCTCCTCTTCCTCTTCTTCTTCCTGCTCCTACTCCTCCTCCTCCTCCTCCTCCTCCTCCTCCTGCTCCTCCTCCTACCCTCCTGCTGAATGTTTGCTGAAGCTCTAATCTGGTTTTATTTGAATGTCTTCAACCGATAGCCGCTGACCTTCAGACACAAACGTCCATATTTGGTCAAACGTTGGAGTCTGATCATTGAGCAGTTTGATGGTTTGCATGAATTAACTGAGTATAAGTAGAGGGGAGCTAATGGGAGAGCTACTGGGAGAGCTGAGAGCCACTGGGAGAGCCACTGGGAGAGCAACTGGCAGAGCTGAGAGCCACTGGGAGAGCTGCTGGGAGAGCCACTGGGAGAGCTGAGAGCCACTGGGAGAGCAACTGGGAGAGCTGTGAGCCACTGGGAGAGCAACTGGGAGAGCTGAGAGCCACTGGGAGAGTTGCTGGAGACTCTGCAGACACTCCTCAGGTAACCTTCTCCTCCTCCTCTTCTTCGTCTTGCTGCTTTATATGTAGTAAATTGGAGTCACTGTGATATTTTGCTGTTTAACTGTGAATAACTTTGTATTCATAAAAGAATATTGTGTCTCCAGACGTAGGTACAGTGTGTTATGAATGCAGTGTGCATTATATATTTGCATAATATTTGTATTATATATGTATATATGTGTGTATATACTTTATTAATTAGATTACTGTTGGGGCGGTAGAACGTATTAATGTGGGAGAACTGTTAGATATGATGAATAAACTGACAGAAAGAACTTCTTCTGTATCATTTGGAACTGAAAACCTACTTTAGATTTAAATTAATATTAAATATACAATATATTCATTTACATACATACACTAAGATATTTTACCTTTAAACATCCATTAACTACATAAACAAACTATTCTTTAATGTTTTATATATTATATTGTCCAAAAAGGTTTCTCAATAAAGTTTAAAAAATATATTTTCTTGTTTTTTTGTTAAACTGATTAATGTTTGTGTGTGTGTGTGTGTGTGTGTGTTTTGTAACAAAGTAAATGATAATTGATTATTATTAGTTTATTGAATCCTTAAGAGTGCCTGTCATATTATATATATATACCGTATATATTAGATATACAATGGGTATGGAAAGTATTCAGACCCCTTTAAAATTTTCACTCTTTGTTTCATTGCAGCCATTTGCTAAAATCAAAAAGGTTCATTTTATTTCTCATTAATGTACACTCAGCACCCCATCTTGACAGAAAAAAACAGAAATGTAGAAATTTTTGCAAATGTATTAAAAAAGAAAAACTGAAATATCACATGGTCATAAGTATTCAGACCCTTTGCCGTGACTCTCATATTTAACTCACATGCTGTCCATTTCTTCTGATCCTCCTTGAGATGGTCCTGCTCCTTCATTGGAGTCTAGCTGTGTTTAATTAAACTGATTGGACTTGATTAGGAAAGGCACACACCTGTCTATATAAGACCTTACAGCTCACAGCGCATGTCAGAGCAAATGAGAATCGTGAGGTCGAAGGAACTGCCCAAGGAGCTCAGAGACAGAATTGTGGCAAGGCACAGATCTGGCCAAGGTTACAAAAGAATTTCTGCAGCACTCAAGGTTCCTAAGAGCACAGTGGCCTCCATAATCCTTAAATGGAAGAAGTTTGGGACGACCAGAACTCTTCCTAGACCTGGCCGTCCAGCCAAACTGAGCAATCGTGGGAGAAGAGCCTTGGTGAGAGAGGTAAAGAAGAACCCAAAGATCACTGTGGCTGAGCTCCAGAGATGCAGTAGGGAGATGGGAGAAAGTTCCACAAAGTCAACTATCACTGCAGCCCTGCACCAGTCGGGGCTTTATGGCAGAGTGGCCCGACGGAAGCCTCTCCTCAGTGCAAGACATATGAAAGCCCGCATAGAGTTTGCCAATAAACACATGAAGGACTCCCAGACTATGAGAAATAAGATTCTCTGGTCTGATGAGACCAAGATTGAACTTTTTGGCGTTAATTCTAAGCGGTATGTGTGGAGAAAACCAGGCACTGCTCATCACCTGCCCAATACAATCCCAACAGTGAAACATGGTGGTGGCAGCATCAGGCTATGTGGATGTTTTTCAGCTGCAGGGACAGGACGACTGGTTGCAATTGAAGGAAAGATGAATGCGGCCAAGTACAGAGATATCCTGGAAGAAAACCTCTTCCAGAGTGCTAAGGACCTCAGACTGGGCCGAAGGTTCACCTTCCAATAAGACAATAACCCTAAGCACACAGCTAAAATAACAAAGGAGTGGCTTCGGAACAACTCTGTGACCATTCTTGACTGGCCCAGCCAGAGCCCTGACCTAAACCCAATTGAGCATCTCTGGAGAGATCTGAAAATGGCTGTCCACCAACGTTCACCATCCAACCTGACAGAACTGGAGAGGATCTGCAAGGAAGAATGGCAGAGGATCCCCAAATCCAGGTGTGAAAAACTTGTTGCATCATTCCCAAGAAGACTCATGGCTGTAGTAGCTCAAAAGGGTGCTTCTACTCAATACTGAGCAAAGGGTCTGAATACTTATGACCATGTGATATTTCAGTTTTTCTTTTTTAATAAATTTCTACATTTCTGTTTTTTTCTGTCAAGATGGGGTGCTGAGTGTACATTAATGAGAAATAAAATGAACTTTTTTGATTTTAGGAAATGGCTGCAATGAAACAAAGAGTGAAAAATTTAAAGGGGTCTGAATACTTTCCGTACCCACTGTATATGCTGACTTCTTCTTATGTTTCAGGTTTTTGTGTCACAATGACTTCCTCTGTGTTTCCACTCTTCTTCTGGTTCTTCCTGAGTTCGTCCCTCGCCGTCTTCCAGCACAGCGGCGTTAAACTTCGAATCACCGACGCAGCGCAGGATGTCTGTAAGATCTGCACTGCAACAAAACATCTATTAAAGCCACTGCCAACAATTCAGTTTTATTTTACTGTATTCTGTCCAGTTTTAATAACATTTACTTATTAATTATTAATTATATTGATTATTCATTATCTTAATTATTCATTATGGTAAATTATTATTTTATGAATTATTCATTATATGAATATGAGGATGATTGGACCTTCATTAGCTCCACCTCTCTTTTACCAAGCCTTGGTCAACTTCCTCCTTTTCTGTACTTACATATGCTATGTGCTAGGCTAATCTATGAGCTCTAACGATTGATATAGATAACAAAAACTCAAAGATTTATACTGTAGTGAAGTATTAGCAGTATTTGTACTCTGTGTACTCAGTGTAGTATTTGTACTCAGTAAAGTATTTGTACTGTGTTTTACAGTGAAAGAAGTTGTGATGGCGTTTCTGAAAGAGTTGCTGAACAAACCGTGGGACGATATTTCTATTCTGGATAAAAAATACGCAAAATACGACATTTCAGGGTAAATTATTAATTATTAATATTATTATTATTATTGTTGTTGTTGTTGTTATTATTAGTGTCATTATATTGTTGTTATTGTTATTATTAGTATCATTATATTGTTATTATCATTATAATAATTATTATGAAATTATGAATTATGAAAGGTTCCTTTTTAAAAAGAATCAGTTTGTATTTTTAATTTGTATTTTCTTTTTCTCTTCCTTGTCAATCATAAAGTTGTTTATTCCAACGAAACCTCTTCATTGTTTCTGACAATAACTCCTCCTCTCCTCAGTCTGACCTTCAGTTGTCTGTCGGTGAGTAAAGACGAGATTGATCTCACCTTCCGGGACAATTCAGGCGTCCATTTTGAAGTCAGTGATCTGGCTTTCACTGCAGCTTTTAAGAGAAAAGCCAAAGTGGGACGGATTAAGTACGTATAAACGTTACATTTAATAATGATTCTTCAGCAAACACAAACTGTGAAGGATTATATTTCATTTTAGCTGCAATATCATCAATATCAGTATTTTTACAGTGTTTCATGGAGTGAAATGATTATTTTATACATAAATTTTGTATTTTATTTATCATCAGTTTCACAGCCAAAGAGAATTTCAACACGCTGCTGTTTTCACACCAAAATCCATTTAAAACTCTGCTAATTTAACACTTTAAACTGTAAAATATCAGTGTGTAACATTAGTGTAATATAATATCCATAAGTGTGTGTTCATTAGTGTTTAATCAGCTGATAATAGGAATTGCTGTGTGTTTGTTACCTTTCATCTACAGAGGCAGCGGCTCCTCTTCTACAAGGGATATTTGTAATTAGTAGACTAGTTAAACATTGGTAATCTCACTGGTGGAGAGCAGAAACACGAAGGATTCAGTGTTATTAATGATGGTTGATGAGCTCTTTACTCTCCGGGGTTTAGCTCCAGCAGGCATTATGAGATAAAAAGTGTAGATGTTCCAGATGTTGGATCTGAGTCCAGCAAGATACAGCAGCTAGCTAACAGAGTGTTTACTCTCTTTATATTGGGATCAATTTCACTGTTTTTTTGTTGCAGTCCTGATCGTGGAAGGAGTTCTATAGCAGGACGAGGTCTGAGCACCACCATTGAAGTGAATCTCAACCGGGACCCACAAGGACATCTGAAAGTGGAGATGGGGAATTGTGAATTCAAAGCTGATGACATCCTGATTGTGTCCCACGGCAAAATGGGGTAACACGAGACTAAGACAAGGTCTAGATTAAGACCACGTTCACTGTTTGTTTATTGATGTAAATCAGATAAGGATGGTCACACAAGGCTTACTTCCTGTTTGCAGTAGGTGGCACTATGACTGAATACTAGCACATATAACTTCTGTTATGAAATGGCGCTATACACATAAAATTGAATAGAATTTAATTGAATTGATGTGTTCGGGGTGAAGTGTGAAGTCTGGGGCTGACTGAACAAAGTACAGCGGAGTACAACTTCCTGTAACGTGCGTACCAGTTTTTGCATAACATGCCACTGGGGCTACTTTGTTGATATTTTATTACTTCTTGTTTCTTAGACAAAGAGTGAAATCGAAAGGGCGGAAGACTAGAAAGGAAACTACACAAGTCCATTTACCATTTAGAGTGCACTGATCCATCAGTTCTTTCAGACGAGCTCGTTAAGATACAACGACCAAAAGTGCACACTAAATTAAAAATGGCCGACTTCCTGTTGGGTTTGGGATAGGGCTCCAAGATACTTTTTTGTTTGTCTGGTCTGCAGGGGCTGGTCTTTAGGGGGTGCTGTCGAGCCGTTTTGCGACACCCATTTATGAGACCCATAAAACTGACTAGTTTTGGTTAAGATAAAAATGATCTGAGCGTTTCCAACAGTTTACTTATTAGACTACAGTTAACTTTTATTAGACTACTATTGTCACTACTCATTGTCCCCCATCGTTGCTGTTTTCATTGTCATCGTCTTCTTCATGTTCATCATCATCAGTCACTACTATTAGTGTAGTTGTTGCTACTGTTGTTGCTGTGCACCTGTCTCTCTCTCTGAGAGTGAGGCTGCACACGGTGTGGTCGCTGCAGTTTTTCCTAAACCTTTCTTAACTTCTCTTTTGTTCTGTTGGTTTAAACTTTATTTTCTTTCCTCTTTATTGTGCATGTACAGGTGAGTTTTTAATTTGTTTATAGTGGTTCAATTTTTAAAAAGCTCCATAACACCAGTAGGTTTTACAGATCATCATCTAATCATGGCCACTTTAATCTCCTCTCAAACAGGAAAAACATCCCTTTATTGGCATTTTAACAATAAATTATTTCAGGACAAGACCTTCTGTCAACAGTTTTGTTTGTTTTGGGATAACTGGAGAGGGAAGAAAGGGCATTTTGTTTCTTTAGGTCAGTGGTGGGAATTAGGGAAGGCACACATCAGGGTTTTTTGTCAGAAGTATACATCTTAGTCCACAGCTAAAGCTAAAGCAGCTTTTAAAAAACTAGAAGAGGAAATTAGGCAGTGTGAGAAACACATAGATGTCCAGTCAAACAAAGACATCTTGGGGGGGGGAAAGAGACTTCAATGTTTTATTACAGGAGAGAGTGAAGGGGGCACTCATAGGATCCCGCTTCATCGGACTGAAAGACATGGATGCTCCAACTGCCTTCTTTTTTAATCAAGAAAAGAAGGAAGCGAGGAAAAAACGTATGGCATGTCTGCGTCTTCCTGATGGGAGGATGACAACAGACCCGGCAGAAATGAGACAACATGCAGTAGACTTTTATTCCTCTCTGTTCAGGGCTGAGGACTGACCAGAGCTGTGCTGCAGAGATTTTACAGGGTCTTCCTCAGCTCAACGATGGAGAGAAGGCGGACATGGATAGAGCTGAGCCTAGAGGAGCTGACCACATCGGCGCAGCAGCTGGCTAAAGGACGAGCTCCGGGATTAGATGGGCTGATTTCTACCAGCAGTTCTGGGGCGTCCTTGGTCCAGATCTTCAGTCAGTCTTTTTAGAGTGTTTTAAAAGAGGGGAGCTGCCAGCCTTGTGTCGGAGCGCTGTTGTCTCTCTACTACCAAAAAAAGGAGACCTGGCCTCATTGAGCCAGAGCCTTCAGTTACCAAGCTCCTCTCCTGTGGAACCAGCTTCCAGTTGTGGTTCGGGAGGCAGACACCCTCACCACATTCAAGAGTAGGCTTAAGACATTCCTCTTTGATAAAGCTTATAGTTAGGGCTGGATCAGGTGAGTCCTGAACCATCCCTTAGTTATGCTGCTATAGGCCTAGACTATCGGGGGATTTCCCATGGTGCACTGAGCTACTCTCTTCCTCTCTCTTTCTGCACTCATTCATGTCCCTTTAATGCATGTTACTAACTCCACTTCTTCCCCGGAGTTCTTGTGCTTTCTCGTCTCGCAGGTTCTCATGGATCCTGGTGGAGCCTCCTGCCATGCTCCTGCTTGACTGCCATTGCCAATACTGTTGTTGCTGTGCACCTGTCTGTCTGTCTGTCTGTCGCTCTCTCTCTCTCTCTCTCTCTCTCTCTCTCTCTCTCTCTCTCTCTCTCTCTCTCTCTCTCTCTCTCTCTCACCCCAACTGGTCGAGACAGACGACCACCCACCTAGAGCCGGAGGATCTGTCCTAGGTTTCTGCCTTTTAACAGGCAGTTTTTCCTTGCCCTTGTCGCCAAGTGCTTGCTCATGGTGGTACTGTTGGGTCTCTGTAATTAATGTTAAAGAGTTCGGTCTAGACCTGCTCTATTTGAAAAGTGTCCTGAGATAACTTCTGTTATGAATTGGCGCTATACAAATAAAATTGAATTGAATTGAATTGAAAAACTGGAGGCCGGTGGCACTTCTGTGCATGGACTACAAAATACTGTCCAGAGCTCTGTCTAACAGACTTAAACAAAACATTGACCTTATGGTGCACATGGACCAGAGCTACTGCATCCCTGGGAGAACAATAATGGACAATCTCTTCCTGTTGAGGGATGTAATCGACATCAGTAAAGTGTTGGACATAAACATCAGCATCCTGTCACTTGATCAGGAAAAGGCTTTTGACAGGATTGCTCATGCATATTTGTTTTCAGTATTTCGTGCTTTTGGTATTGGAGAGGTTTTCACATCATGGGTGGGTTTGTTATACAATGGCGCAAGCTGCATGGAGAAAGTTGAGGGGTGGCTGAGTACACGTATACAGGCCACAGGGGAATAAGGCAGAGCTGCCCTCTCTCTGGTCAGTTAGTTGTACAGCTTGGCTATTGAACCTTTGCTTAACAACATAAGAAACAAACAAACTCAAAGGTTTCCATCTGCCCAACAGTCCACTCAGCCTGCCTCTAACATTGGCTGCTTATGCTGATGTTGTAAACATTTTCATAACTGGACAAGCTGATGTGTGCTTGTTGAGAGAAAGCCTTAGACTGTACCAAAGAGCCTCCTCTGCTCAGGTTAACTGGGCTAAATGTGAGGCCCTGTACTGTGGCTCTTTAAACATAAACATGAGGCCTGTTCTTCCATCAGGACTTCAATGGAAGAGGAATGGGATGAAGGTTCTCGGGGTGTATCTGGGAGATCAGGATTTCCAACAACAGAACTGGGAGGGTGTAGTGGTGAAAGTGTGTGCTAGGTTGTCTAAATGGCATTGGCTGCTGCCTCAGCTGTCATGCAGGGGACAAGTTTTGGTCATTAATAACTTGGTCGCCTCGACACTATGGCACAGGCTGAAGGCTTTATCTCCACCAATTCAATTCAATTCAATTTTATTTGTATAGCGCCAATTCATAACAGAAGTTATCTCAGGACACTTTTCAAATAGAGCAGGTCTAGACCGAACTCTTTAACATTAATTACAGAGACCCAACAGTACCACCATGAGCAAGCACTTGGCGACAAGGGCAAGGAAAAACTGCCTGTTAAAAGGCAGAAACCTAGGACAGATCCTCCGGCTCTAGGTGGGTGGTCGTCTGTCTCGACCAGTTGGGGTGAGAGAGAGAGAGAGACAGAGAGAGAGAGCGAGAGAGAGAGCGACAGACAGACAGACAGACGCACAGCAACAACAGTATTGGCAATGGCAGTCAAGCAGGACCATGGCAGGAGGCTCCACCAGGATCCACGAGAACCTGCGAGACGAGAAAGCACAAGAACTCCGGGGAAGAAGTGGAGTTAGTAACATGCATTAAAGGGACATGAATGAGTGCAGAAAGAGAGAGGAAGAGAGTAGCTCAGTGCACCATGGGAAATCCCCCGATAGTCTAGGCCTATAGCAGCATAACTAAGGGATGGTTCAGGACTCACCTGATCCAGCCCTAACTATAAGCTTTATCAAAGAGGAATGTCTTAAGCCTACTCTTGAATGTGGTGAGGGTGTCTGCCTCCCGAACCACAACTGGAAGCTGGTTCCACAGGAGAGGAGCTTGGTAACTGAAGGCTCTGGCTCCTGTTCTACTTTTAGAGACTATAGGAACCACAAGTAGCCCAGCATTCAGAGAACGTAGTGTTCTAGTGGGGTAATAGGGTACTATGAGCTCTTTAAGATATGAAGGGGCCTGACCATGAAGAGCTTTATAGGTGAGGAGGAGTATTTTAAATTCAATTCTACATTTTATAGGGAGCCAATGCAGAGTAGCTAGTACAGGAGAGATGTGATCTCTTTTTCTAGTTCCTGTCAGTACTCGTGCTGCAGCGTTCTGAATTAATTGGAGCGTTTTAATGGACTTATTGGGGCAACCTGATAATAAAGAGTTGCAGTAATCCAGCCTTGAAGTAACAAATGCATGGATTAGTTTTTCTGCATCTGTCTGTGATAGTATGTGTCTAATTTTTCTAATATTACGTAAATGAAAGAAGGCAGTCCTAGAGGTCTGCTTTATGTGGGAGTTAAATGACAAATCCTGATCAAAGATAACTCCAAGATTCCTGACAGTGGTGCTAGAGGCCAAGTTAATGCCATCTAGAGTGACTATATCTTTAGACAATGAGTCTCTAAGGTTTTTGGGGCCAAGAACAAGAATTTCGGTTTTTTCTGAGTTTAACATCAGAAAATTGCAGGTCATCCAGGATTTTATGTCCTTAAGACATGTTTGTAATTTAGATAATTGATTAATTTCATTGGGTTTGATTGATAGATATAACTGCGTATCATCTGCATAACAGTGAAAGTTAATGGAGTGATTCCTAATAATGTTGCCTAAAGGGAGCATATATAAAGTAAATAGTATTGGTCCAAG